TTCAACAAAAGTTCGTTTATTTGTTAATCGATCCGAGTTCGAACAGAAAATTAGGCTCGTTAAATGATCGAACGAGCACGAGCTAGTTCGTGTACATTCGATTATGTTCGCGAGCATTAATTTATTATAATTTTATTTTATTTTAATATATTTACATATTATTTTTTTAATAAAAATGCTAAAATTTATTTTATTTATTTTTTATGTATTTACATAATATTTTTGATAAAACATCTAAAATATAATAAAAAAAATCTATTTTCGAGTTCGAACGAACAAATTTCGAGTTAATCAAACATATTTAAAAACTTTATGTATTAAATTATTCAACACGAATGAACTCGAACTTTGACGAACAATTAAACGAACAAATTCGAACACAATTTTTTGCTCGAAAAATAAACAAACTAACACGAACACTGTTCGAACGTAAACGAACACAAGCTCAAACAACCAAGTTCAGTTCAGTTCGGTTCGTTTATAGCACTACCCATGATAGGCCTCCGGCCTGGCCCATTGACGGGCCATGTCTATAAAATACGTATGATATTGTACAACAATGCTCACCTACCCACAGTGGACACATGTTAATATAACCGCCGCTTATGTAGCATGCACACATTGGTAATGTATTTTTTTAACATATTAACATCACCAATGTGTGCATGCCACATAAGCGGTGGGAATATCTATATATCTATATATATATATATTAAAAGTCAACCTATTTACCAAAAACAGTAGCAAGAAAAAGTCAACACACATTTAATGTATACTTTATTTGGAAATTTTTTACTATATGCATTAAATGCTTGCATATTTACATTTACTATCCAATTATGATTTTAAAAATTTTTTCCTTAAATAATTTATGCAATGATTTTACTGATATCCATTATAATTAATATTTGTCGAGTAATATTTTTTAACCTTTATTTAATTATATAACACTAATATTTTTTTTAAAAAAATAATATTATTTATTATTTAAAAGATAATGTTCACATCATTAAATGATTTTATTGACGGTTATATAATAAAATTATAGTTATTCTTTAAAATTTCGACATGTTATTTATTTGTATATTATTATCAACTATGATAGTGTTTTTATCACTTTTTTTTTGTTATATTTCAAAAATAAAAAATGAACTTATTGTAAAATATTTTTCTATTGCATAGTATGTTAAATAAACTGTAAAGCCTTAGGATGAAAATTATAAAAAGTCTATTGATTATGTAAGGGATTTATTTTTTGGCAATTGCTAAATTATTTAAAAAAAAAAGAATTATTATGAGAAAATTAAATTCTAAAAAACATGTGTGTATTTTGTAAACATTTATACTCAAAATTTTATTTTGAATTTCATTACATAAAGAAGACTACTTCTATAACTTTTAATAAATAATAATAATTACATTATATGACTGTAAATTTTATAATAAAATAATAATTGAGTATTATATGGTGAACAATATTTAATAAAATTTTTATTTTTTCCTATATCAATTATTAAATATGTATTCTAAAATCAAATAAATATTAATATAACGTGTTAGCGGAATTATATATTAATTAACATGTTAATTTTTTAGCTTAAATAAACTCCACTTATTAAAAGATGTGAAATATGGATGATCCAAACCTATTGTTTTTTTGTCTAGACGTACAAGTCCTATAGAAATAATTGATTTATTATATGTATCACGTGCATCGCACGGGGTATGCACTAATAAATGACCTTAAAATTGTGCACCCCGTGCATCACTCGTGTTCACATTTTGGCCTATTACAGATCACATACTATATATATCCCGTAAATTTTTTTTTATTCACTTATATAATTATAAGAATGGATAAATAATCTTAAAATAGTGCATCCAGTATATCGCACGGGCAACATGTCTCCACTGTGGGTACGGAAACATTAATGTGATATTCTAATAATAAGAGATAATGTCAATGAAAGTGGAAGTCACCGTAAGTATATTTTGCCTATTAAATCCAACGTTTGGGCAGTACCAAACTTTATGAAGGATTGTATATAGGTTCCCGTCGTCATCAGCCAGAATTACAGAGTCGCCATTCCAAAATTTGCCCTCGCCACTCCAAAATTGCCCTCGCCGCCGGTGGCATCGGTCGGAATTTGAGCAACGTTGTTCACAATTCTCGGAGAAGCTAAGTTGCCAAGCAAAGATCGCTTTGCTTCATGAAGGCAGCGCTCGGGTACAATCGGTAAAAAGTGGACCTGTATAAGATCAATTTTGATTTCTTTTCTAACTCTACGCCCTGTATTATT